ACGAACGAGCCGCAGATTCATAGCTATGAAAGTAAAGGAACTAAAGGTAAAAGTTCAAGAAAATAGGTCATATTAGGCGTTTAGAGAAATGTAGCGGGAGTGGGGCCGAAGGAAGTGGGCGGGACTTGCCAAATTGAATCACTCAGTATTTTTGTTTACGTCTATTTTTTGCGCAGCAATTTTCTACTTCAGCTCTTTAAAGCACGTTTCCTTCCATATTTACAAGTACAGTTGCGAAAATGAAGTGAAAAAACCCAAATAACACTGTTTGTGGCTAACTCCGCCCCTGCCACGCCCCTTTCAAGGATTTTATGCATTTATGCTTGTCGAAAAAATCTTTGTTGGCCAGCTATGAGGGAGCGAGAGAGATACAACTTCAAAAAAATAGCCCTTTTTTAGATAAAAGAGCAGGTCAAACTAATCAGCGATGTCAGTGGGTAATCCAATCGCAGTCCCAAGTACCTATCTGGTTGCACTTCAGGTATTTTTACAATTCCTTTTATTCCGAGATGATCTTAAAAAACGAAAAATTCTAATTTTGTTCTTTAGTACGATACATTTCCCTACAACTGATGGTGATTGTTCGGATGCATACATAGAAATCCGTGATGTTGGCTTGATTTCAAAATGTCAACATCCAGCATGTGCTCGAGAGAATTCACAGCGAAAGGTATTCATAGTTTTATTTTCTTTCCGCTTTGGCATAAAAATTATTGTTTAGACTTTCCGGATCTGCGGAAATACTCCATTCCCACCTTATATATCAAATACGATGGCTGTACAGGTAAACATAAATTTTTTATTACGAGAAAAAAAATCATTTTCTAAGGGGCGGGGATTATTTAGCAGTGGCCTTCGCAGAAAATTTCATAGGATTTGAGTTGAAAAGCATAGCATTAGTTTGCTCCCGTGAAATTCTCCCCTGAAACTTTTCCAAATCTCAAAGTTGTAATCCCAAATTTTTGAAGAAAGGGGCGTAGTATGAGACATCCCGGGGCAGTACTTTGCAAATTCAACTCTATGAAATTGTAATCTGATTAAAAACTAGGATGTTTCAACATTTCTCTAGTTTGAATTGATAAATTACGCAATTTTTCAGATCACTACCTCAGCGATTATCAGCGATACGGATGGAGCCCGTTTCACAATGTCCTACCATCTACTTGATGGTACCTCTGGCGGGAAATTCCAAAATCAAAAAAATGATTGATTTATTTACAGGCTGCAATCGCACAATAATCACGCAAGATGTCCCGTCTGGAAGATTCACAAGTCCAAACTTCCCGAACCCTTACGATCACAATTCTACATGCACAACCAAAGTGGAAGCACCAGCCCATAAACGAATTTTGATTGTGTTCCGGTAAGTTGGGGTTTTTTGATTTACTTTGTACCCAATTGTGAATCTTTTTTTT